TGGGCTGCTACATGTTCCGCATCGACGACTTCGACGTGGTGGACGCCACGATGCACGGCAACGCCGCCCGCTTCATCAACCACTCGTGCGAGCCCAACTGCTACTCCCGCGTCATCCACGTGGAGGGGCAGAAGCACATCGTGATCTTCGCCCTGCGGCGCACCAGCCCCCCGCCTGGGGGGCAGAGCTCGGGACGCCCCCTGTCCTGGCCAGGGCCTGGAGGCTGGGATCAGCCCTCTCCAGAGCCTCCTGGCTTCCTGCTACCTCCCCCCGCTCCCCCTCTTCTCCTCCTGCCCTCCTGCAGTGCAGGGTGGAGGAGAGGGGGGGGAGTCCAGCTGCTCGACACCCCCAGACGCTGGCCGGGCACGGGAGGCCCCAGCATCTGTCCCGGGGGCAGGGCTCGGTGCCTCCGACTGCTGTGATTTCCCCTCCCCAGCCCAGGGCAGCTTGTGGCTCTGGCCCCCTCTTCCACAGCAGAGGAGCAAGACTTGATGTGGGGCAGGCCCCTTAGCAACAGGGTCTGGCCTCCTTTTGCAGAGCCCCCATGGGGGCTGGGCTGGGGTGCACCGTAACCCCCCCCAATCTGCACTAGCAGAGGCACAGGGGTGGGGTGTGTGCCCAGCCCCCCACTTCCCTGAGTCTGGACTCCCAGTGCCCCCTAGGGGGCTGCTTTCCTTTTTGTACGGGGAGGGTGTGAGTGGGGGTGGGGGACCAGGACAGGCCCCCTGCAACCCCCCCACCCTGTAGATATTTGTACAGATGTTTCTAAACCTGTTTATTTTCTATGCACTTTTTTATTTAAAGTGGCAAGTCGGCCCTGTGCCCCCAGCCTCGCCCCGTTGGTATAATTTTAAATAAATGGCCATTTTCACATGCTGAGCTCTTCCTGGGGCGGGGCTGGGAAAGGGGGTGTGCTGACATGGGGCTGGAAACGACTCTGCTGCTTGGCCTGGGCTGGCTGCAGCTCCCTGCTCCCTCCCCCCTCCCCCTAGAGGGCTTGTGCCTGCTGCTCTGGGCTGGTGCTGTGTGGTGGTATGTGCGGCTGTTCCTCACCCCAGAGGTGGCTGCATCTTGGTGCTGGGCGGTTTTCCCTGGGCTGGCTGCATCTCCCAGGCCCCTGCCCTGGCTCAGTGTGGGTCTCTGTCTGGGACAGGGAGTCAGTATCAGGGCCTGCAGAGTGTCCCCAGCCCCTCCTGCTGCCCTCAGCCTGGGGAGGTAGCGTCTGGCAGCTTGTCCCTCACCCCTCTCCAGCAGGGGCCAGTCCTGCTGTCATGGCTGCCCGGAGCCCTCTAACCCTGCCCCATGCTTGAGGGGGAGCAGTGGGGAGCCTGGCCCAGCACGGGCAGGGGCTGGAGCGCAGGCGCCAGGATGAACTCCAGCCAGGGCCCCTGGGGGTTGTGCCAGGCCCAGGGGGACACCTCACTCTCTCCAGCACCTGCAGAGCATCCTTGCGCCCCATGGCGCCCAGCAGCCCGGCCAGCTGCCCCAGCGTGGCCTTGGTGGCACGCAGGGGGCTGCGGGTGCTGCGCAGGGAGTAGGTGTAGTTGATCCAGGTGGCGGAGAGGCCGTAGCGGGAGGCCAGGTGCCGGGTGCCCCCCCCGGCCTTGTCCTCAGGGTCCAGCAGCATGATCAGTTCCTCCAGCACGTCGGCATCATCCAGCAGGTGCTGCAGCGGCAGCCCCCACAGGCTGGGGGGGGCAGGTGTGGTGAGCTGGGCCCCAGGAGCAGCCGGGCAGGACTGGGGGCCCCCCCAGCTGGCAGCACGGCCTGCAGAGCCAGCTGTCTCCTCAGCACTCAGCAAGGAACCTGGGGCAGGAAGGTGTGAGGTTGAGCCCTGGCCCTTAAGGATGAGGTTAGAATACAGCTGCCAAGGAACAGAGCTCCGCCCCCAGAGTCAGGCCCCACCCCCTGCCCTAGGAGCTCCGCCTCCCAGGATATGAGCTCCTGGTACTTAGAGCAACCCTGCCCTGGGGGCTGGCCCCTCCCACAGCACTCCTAGCTGCTGCCTCTTTCCAATGACAGCGGGTAGCAGATAGG